AATGGATCAAGGGCTTACATGTTAATCTCGAAATTATAAAAGTCCTAGAAGAAAACATAGGCAGTAAAATCTCAGACACTTCTCATCACAAAGGAAACCATCAACAAAATAAAAAGACAAACAACTGAATGGGAGAACATATTCACCAAAACATCAGATAAGGACTTAATATCCAAAATTTATAAAGAACTTATAAAACTCAACACTAAAAAACCCAACCATTCTAATTCAAGTATTGCATGTTTTTAAAATTCTTGCAGTAGGTACAACCAGTTGAAAATCACTGCTCCACAGTACTTGAAAAATCATCACTTCATTCCATTCCATTCCATTCCATTCCATTTCCTTTGCCTTCGCCATTGTCAAGTATTTATCTACAAAGCAGGTAACTACATGCCTTTTCCTTTTTAAATAAAAACCTATCTTCAAACTACTCAATTTGTTAAAATCTTTGTGATGTTGTGGTCATTTCAATGCTACATACATTGTTATGGCATAACTGCCATTTTTTTGGTGAAGTCATAAAAATTCAACAGGGATTATGGTAATTAGTAAGACAAAGAACAATCTCCCTAAGGTATAACCTTAAAGAATAAATCACAGTTTGGGGATAAAGGGGAAATAAAAGAAGCACAAAGCCAGGTTGGATTCAATACAGAATATCCATGAAGATCTGCAACCCTTCCTTTTCAGGGATATAAAAGTTGATAATGTCTTAGTGTATTGAAGGCTAGGATTATGCCTTATAAATTTTTGCTATAATTAACACCCTACTCATAGTGAGTGCTCAACAAAAGTTAGATGGTGATGGGGAGGTGACAATAATGAATTCAAACATTTGTCAAAATTTATTAATTCATAAGAACTCCTTTTTATGTTGTTTCCTCACAAAATATATTCCTTATCTTCTAAGATTTTGTTTCATACATGGTATGGACAGGCCATATGTGTAGAATTAAGGTAAAATGTGGTCTTTGAAATGTGAGCCTACCTTGAATGTCAGTGTTTCTCAAAGGAGAGGGTGATTTTGCCCTATAGGGAACATTTGATAATATCTGGAGACATTTTTGGTTTTCACAAGATGGGAGGTGTTATTGGCATCTAGTGGATAAAGGCCAGGGATGCTCCTAAACATCATACAATGCACAGGACAGTCCCCTGGAATAAAGAATCATCTGGCCCAAAGTGCCAATAGTGCTCAGGTTGAGAAACCTTGCTAATGGGGAAAAGAAAATGCCTTTAATATCTGGATTCTGATAGAGGCAGAAATAGAATGTTGAGGATCAGCTATAATTGAAAGAAATAGTAATCATGATCTGTTAACCTAGATTGTTTTGTTCTGATTAAAGAAAGCGCATTCCAACCTGCTGGGAATTGCACACTCAACCTGAGAGCTCACCTGGAAATGTGGCCCATCCTTCACCTTCTGGAGCTGCGTATTATCATTGAAGGATTAATAATCTTGTTGCAGAAACCAGAGCCTCCAGCCCTTTGTATGTCCCAAGCCCTTTAAAGACCCCTAGCCCTTTGCATATCACCAACCTTTGAAGACCCCCAGCCCTTTGCATACTAGTGGGCCTTTGCAAATCTCCAGCCCACAATTACCTGTAAACTGCCCATTTGGCATACCTTTTCACCTATGTTATCTTCGTTTTTCTACCCAATATAAGCAGCTGGTTTATAGTAGGGAGCAGAGCAGATTTTTGTGGATGATCTGCTGCTCTCTCATACGGCCAGCATTATTAGAATAATCACTCATATATGATTCAATCCTGTGTCTGATGAATTGGCTCAATTAGTGACAGGCAGCCTGGACCCATTAATTGTCCGGTTACAGTTCCTCATATCAATCTCTCTTTGCCTGTATGAAACTACACTACACTCCAGTCCATACTCGTATATTCTACTTTCCACTATTGTATAGGCTATAAGAAGAGTAGAGAAAATAGATTGTCCCTGAATTTTTAATTCAATTGCATTTTGACAGTCACATTTGGATGATGTTTGAATAGACAAGGCCATGTGAGTAAACCTCGCCTAGAAACCAGGTAGATTTGGGCTAAAATTATTCAGTCACTTACATTTTTTGCTTTGAACCACTTTCACAGATGTGGCCCCTGGTTCCAAACTGCCCCATGAGAGTTCAAACAGACATACACTTGCAGTCACCAGATAGGAAACCTGAACATTTCCATACCCACAGAGAAGAAGAGCCGCCCAGCAATAGCAAAGGCAACCTAGGAAAGCCTGGGATCCTGTGCAAATCAGCTTCTTAACTGCACTAGGTTCTCTAATAAATTTGTTCAGGAATTTGCATAATAATCTGTGACATTTACATGGTGCTTTTAGCTTTGGAAAGGGTTTTCCTTTTTATATTCTGGATCTCCTGAAGAGGTTTGCAGAGTAAGGGCAGGAGCAGGTAGAAACTTCTGGGTCTTATCCACAATCTACTGGGAAAGCACCCAAATTCAAAAACATCCATAATCCTCATAAAGACAACTGCACTGTATATAGGGCCTTTGAAAGAGACAGCTCTCTCAGCACGGTTCCTGGTTGTATCCTAAGTTTGGAAGCCTTAATTGGACTGCAGTTTGGTCAAAGACAAGGAGATACACCAAAGTCTTGTCCTGAGCCACATATGTTATTCAGCCTTCATACCAAAGGAGGGACCAGCTTAATCAAAACATAGACCTCTTTTGTTTGGGAGGCTGTGCATTTGAGGTTGCTGGCCACAGTGAAAATGCCTTTGAATGGGAAAAAGGCAGATAGGTTCCAGAATCTAGTGATTTTTTTTTCCATCCACATCATTGGCCAGTCTTTACACACACTTCCTGAAGTGTTTAAACTGTATGGAGGGGAGGCTCCAAACTCACCCCTGCCCTCATCCCCACAGAAAAACAAACTCTTCAATCCCTCAAAGCAACACTTTTCTCCAATGCATTGATCCCACACAAAAACTTAATATTTTCCAGCTCATTGGGCCACCTTGCTAAGGGGCTAAGTGGCCCCAGGACAACAGAAAAACTTGTCTCACTTGGTGTCCACATGAACTTTCCCAGGATAGCCTAGGAGAGTTGATAGGGTAGCCACTAAACATAACTATGCTACCTTCACCCTTCACCAGGAAGGAAATGGGAACCCTGGGCCACATAGGCAGGACAGAGGGTTCTGGCTCTTTCTGGAACTCTACTTAGGCTCCCACTGTGTGCTCCTGGACAACAGTGGGAAGTACACCTCCAGTGGGCTTTCGCTCAGCTCAGGGCTGTTCTGAGAATTGGTAAGGAAAAGTTTCCAGGTACCAGCTTAGAGTCCAGAAACACAGATCCTTGCTCCTCCCTTTCCAGGGAGATGTAATAAAGGAGATAAAAGACAAAGCCGAGCTTTGGAGCTGTGTGACCGGGACAGGAGATGCTGCCAGCTAGCTGACATAAGCACCAGTGGGTTGCAGGTAGAAATCTCAGGCTTGTTGTGGGGGGTGGGCCATTCAGTCAGCTCCAAGAGATTTCAAGAAGGTGGCCATTCTGAGTGACAGAGTATAGGGTGAGAGGTGGGGGTGGGGAGGTGTCTCACGTGACATGAAGGCGCAAAGATCAAAGAGTCACCCAAGAGTCCGGTGTCATGGGTCCCCCCCCCCCATGACAGAGAGAGAGAGAAAGAGAGAGAGAGAGAGAGAGAGAGAGAGAGAGAGAGAGAGAGAGATGCCACTGTCACTGAGACCACTAAACAAGTTACTCCCTCATCCTACTATCCCACTATCCATCCCCACCCCTCTTCAATCTCGGCTGGATCCTGGGAGACCAACCCTATGGGTGAGAGGGGCAGGGATGGAAGAATTAGGCTGTGCTCCTATGCTGCCTGCACTGGGTTACCCTTAGACCCATCAGGGATCAAAGCCCGCCCCGAGGATCCCAGGCCTGTCCCTAGCGACTCAGGGTCCCTCTGTCCGGCTGCCCTCTGTCCGGCTGCCCGCCTGCCAATTGCCTCAGCTCCCGCTGGCTCAACTCCTCTTCCCCCAGGGGATGACCCGTGGCTGCCTGCGCACAGTCTCGCCGCCACCTGTCCGGAGCCCCGGCTGAGAGGAGCAGGTGGGGGTGTCACTGTTCAAAGCAGGGGACACTCAGAGCAATGGGCAAAAAGAGACTCTGCAAGCCAGGCGCCCGGAGTCGCTGCAGTCCCTTCAACCGGCGCTCAGCCCCCCAGTCTCTGCCACCACCAGGGGAGGAGGAGACCCAAGGAAAAAACAAACAAACAAACAAAAACGAATGAAACAGAAAATTCCCTACCGAGGGGGGAGAGATGAGACGGTGGGACAGGGCAGCGGGGGTTGACTTGGGGTTGCGGCTGCGGCTTCCTTCCACCCCTGGCCACCGAGCTGCAGAGAAGGCAGGAGCTGCTGCCCCTGCAGGCTGCCCCGTCCTCCCTTTTCACCCACCTCAGGTCTCTCCCCCACCCCGCCCTCCTCTCTCTCACACATGTACACACACACACACACACACACACACACACACGCAACGGGTTCTCCAGCTGGAAGCCACCCTAAGGGAGGGAGAAAGAACAGGAGCAGAGGAAGCAAGGAGCAGATAGAAAGGAAAAGGAAGAGCTCAGGGTTGGACATTTTTGGAGCTAGGGGTGGGGAAGAGAAAGGGAGCGCGCCTCCTAGATTTTTCCCCTCCCCTCTTTGCTTTTCTCTCCTCTTCGCTGTATATAGCATTTTCCAGAAGCGGCTGCAAAGGGGGACAGAAACCTAGTCTGGAAAGATTTTGAGGGGTGGCTGGGGCTTCCGCCAGCTTCTACCTAATAGCTGGAGCTTGAGTGTGCGTTTGTATATGTAAG